CTTGTCTCACTTTGACATGTGATGAATGACATATTGACGTTCCGTGTTAATTTTTTTTCTGTGAAATAATTTACATTCACGTGAACAAATTATTTACCCGTTATTTTTAACCGAAAACTTTCACTCTAATTTTTTTTTTTTTTTTTTTGTACTTAGCTTTCACCTTTATGTTTATGATGTTTATGGAAATATGATTCTAAAAGAAATTAAAAAATAAAACTGTTAAGAGTGACATTAAATTTCAAATTTCTAAGAAAGGTATCTAATTAATTTAAGATACCTTTCTTATGAAATTTTCTTTTACATATCTATAACAATGTCATTTATTACATTCTATTTTATTTGTATTTGCATTCATTTATTATTAATTTTTTTTCATTTATGGAAAAATTCGTAACTGAGATTAATATAAAATAAGATCATATAAATTTTTTAAGATGATATGAATTAACCTTCTCAGTTGAAATTGAAAATCAAATTAACTTCTTTAAAAGTAAAAGTAAAGGCCTTGAACAGCGGAGAACAATGTTTAATTTAAATAATTAACTTAATTATATTCTTTGGTCTTCATTTTTTGTTTATGCACAAAATTACATTTCTTAATTATGGGGTTCTTCTGATTAGTCAAAATGATACAATTTCGCTAAAAAAGATCTATCTAAAAATCCTTTTTATCTAATTTTATAATATTTTAACAACTTAAATGTAAAAATTATAATTAATGAAATAACAAATAATTGTATTAAAATTCATTTTCATGAAAAAACTTTCAGAAAATATTGTTTTCATAAAAACAACTAAAAAGCAAATAAAAAATTGAAATTAAATAATATCTTTGTTTTATTGAGTTTTCTATTTTCAGAGCTGATTTTCAGGTATTGGGTATCCAATTAAAAACAAAAAAAAATGATTTGTTTCTGTCTTTAATTATTGTAATCACTAAAACCGAGGTCAATTTCTTTTTTCATAAAATTGTTATTGGGGGGGTAATAAATATTTTTTAAAAATAAATAAGACTCATAAAAAAACATTTTTAATTTCTGATCATCGTGAATAGTTCCTGAAAGTTTCATCATCCGATAATTATTTCTTTTTTGCACGATTTTGCATGTTAATACCAAAAAATGCTAAAATTGTCGTTATTTTTTCCGCTTGATACAAACTAGAAACAAGGTTTTTTAATCAAAAATTTAGAATAAAAGAAGGAAAATTTTTAAAAAATAATTAAAAAAAACTTTGGTCTTTCCTCTAAATAATAACATAAGCATTTAGACAATAAAATTTTGTTTTGCAAGGTTGGCGTCTCTTTTCATCAAGCTTGCTCTTTTTTGCGATTTTGGATTCTATGTAAACTTTTATAATTTGGCTTAAATTAGAAAGGTTTTTCGTGAAATTGAAAATTTTTTTTTTTAAATAAAAAAGTATTTGTTTACTAAATGAGTTAATAACAAACATTTTTTATTCAGCCAGTGACAAATCCAGCAACAACAGTAGACTAATTCTCAACTACTACAATACGATAATTCATGTTGACATTTTCTCCGTCTGTCTGTCTCACTCTGCTACATATGCGTGTTAATTTTTTTTCTGTGTCTATCTCAACTGCTACCTTGTGTTATACACCAAAACTCTCATCCTATGGCTGATGATGTAACAAAATAAAACCTTATAAAAAAAGCAAAAATAAAATTCTTTTACATACCTCAACAATGTCTTGTCTCTATTTGTTGTTTTGTCATTATCACTCTTTTTTTGTCTTGTTGATGTTAAAGCAACCATTACAAGCATTTTTTAAGAGATATAATTAACAATTAGCACTTTAAAGATGAATGAAAGCCTAATTTAAACATTGAAACTTTGGCTCATTTGTTTTGCAGAATATAGCTGTTAACAAATATCTATAAAGTCTAAAAATCCTTTGCCTCATTGTGAAATCTCAAAGAATTTCTCAGTCCTTTGATTTCATGAACATGAAATTTTCTTCTCAGTAAATCAACCAAGACTGATCTATTTTCAGCAGATAAGGTTTCTGAATCGAGAGGCATGAATGTGAAAGCTAAAATAAGACTGTGAAACATTTCTTATACGTGAAAAGCAATATGCATTAATACAATGCTGGCTACTATTTTATATATCTATATACTGAAATTGCCTTTATATTTGCTTTTTAGTTTCTGCTTTATTCAGTGACTAGAAGAAAATTAATTTATTTAGAATTATAGGATAATATATTGGGATTATGAATTTATGGCTTACTTCTAGTAATGCTCAAACTAATTAGAAAAAATATCTAGATGAAAATAAAATAAGATGTAATAAATATATAAAAGAAAGATAAATATATCTTAAAGATTCCAAAGTATGATGGGGGTGTTGAAATGTTATTAACTCCATAAAGTAGGAATTGAAGATTTGAGAATTTTTTTTTTTTTTTGGATTTTTTTTGGGAGAGCTATTTACAAAACCAATGGATTAGAACTTTTTTTTTGGAAATCCCTTCTTGGTTCTTTGAAATCCTTTTCATTGTCACCCCCAAAAAAAAAATAGATTCCTACAGATGATGGAGTATTGAAATGTTCTTGACTAAATTCTTTTTTATACTCAGTACAAGGTTCAAGAGCATTCATTTGTGTGGTTCCGCTTATAAATTGGGGAGGGGGAAGTATTTTGAATTCATTCCCACCAAGATTGTAACCAACATTTGTTTATACTAATGTTTACTCAATATGAGGCTCAAGAGTCACCCAAAGTAGATAGTTACTGAATAAGGTGTGTGATATGAATGTAAGAATAGGAAATGAAGATTATGAGAATATAGAGGAGAGGAAATGATTGGTCCTTGACTTGAAGATTGTAGCCTTTGAAGAAGCATCCATGTGGGAGTTTGTTTCACAAAGCAGTGGCTCTTGGGAAGGAGCTGAGTTCTCAAAATCTGACCAAATATTAGAATTTTTTTCAGAACCACTTCTTGGTTGGGCCAAGAACTTTTCATTGTCACTCCCATAAAAAAATCTACTAGTCAAATTAATAGCATCAGCTGATGAAAGTTAAATATTTATAGTTTGGTAATTATTAACCAATAAAAAAAGAATCCATTTAGAACATATTTAAATCATCTAAGTTAATTGCAATAACAAACCAACTCAGAATAAAAGCATAAGTTTCCTGATCTCTCTTATGTCACTTGGGCCATATCCACAACTAACAATTTTTTGCTTCCAATTCAACATCTTAAGCAACTTTGTTTAAAATTTAGCATTCTGCATTTATAAATATTACTTCTCCTTTTACTATATATGGAATCCCCTCAAAATATAGTGTTTTATATATTAGTTCTATATATTTTAAATTGCAGTAGGCTGGCTCTCAATTTCAGTTAGGATTCTTTTAGGTGTTGCCATAGAAGGATATGACTGCACAACCAAAAATTCAAATTCAACTTGCATTGGCAGGACTTACATTTTGCTTGGTAAAAATAGTTTAAATAGTTTCCTCATCAATCCTATGAGTGGGTTTTGTTGTAGAGTCTCTGCACAACTGAACACCTGACCAGTTCCTGCCACATATTTGGTTTAAAAGCTGGAGAGGTATTCATTAATGTGCAGTGTGTCTTGCACAAGCAGACCTGGTGGGACCCATCCTTCTTCAGATCAAATCCCAGCTAATATCCTCTGACTCAAAAGCTCACCTTGGTCATAGTTGCAGACACATGGCTGTTGTTTCCACTGAGGCAACTCTCTACCCTGGTTATTGAAGTTCTCCACCCAGTGATTCATCACTGCACTGGCTGTATACATAGCTATAGTGTTCAATCTCTCCCATTGTGCTAGATGGCTATTGACCCTATAAGATGATTTGTCCACCCTTTGACAGGTTTTGTTTTTAACCCTGCTGAATGCTTTGCCACCTTCCTCAACAGAAAAGCCTGGTAAAGAAACTTTCAGCTGCTGATGACCTGACCATGCAGGTAGTGCTGGGTTACATTGTACCAGTATTTCTCATAATATGCCTTGAAGTGAAGAAAAAAAAGAATTTAATAAAATTAAACTGCAATTCAGTTGATCTGTAAGAAAATACGTCACCCTCTGGTGCTTACTTGTGCTGATTAAAATGATGAAGAAATGTATTTTTAGAATTTTTATTAAAATGATGAAGAAATATATTTTTTAAATTTTCTATTAAAATGGCAAAAAATATATTTTGGGAATTTTTTTTTATTAAAATGGTGAAGAAATATATTTTTAGAATTTTCTAAAAGAACAAGAATCTTGGCACAAGATATTAGTCTTTTGTATTCATGATTTCACTTTTGGTTGTTGGCATTCATGTTTCACTTAATATCAAGCAAGGGAATCAGTGCAAGCCAAAAGTAATGATACAGCCTGCTATAATTGTACATGAATATTGATTAATCTATTATTGTTGTCTCACAGTGATAGCAAAAGACAGCATTCTTTGAGTTATCAATGGTTTGCCACATCATGATTTGGATATGCTGCATTAAGAGTGACACGTGTCTCCAAATATTCGTCAGTCAGATATGCTTTACCCTTAGATCATTTTATACACACTATTGTTTTTTGTTTTTTTTTGTTTTTTGTTTTTTTTGTTTTTTTTTTTTTTTTTTTTTTTTTTTTTTTTTTTTTTTTTTTTTTTTTTTTTTTTTTTATATCTGCATTTTTTTCTTCCTGTCCTTCAATCAATATTAAAAAAAAAAAAAATAAGAGGCCATAGTTGGTTTTAAGATTTATATTTTTTTTTCTAGCAAGTCATGCCTATTTTAATTTTTTTTTAATTACAATTTTTTTTCTTTTTATGATTTTCTGTGAAATTTTTTTGGTTACTTGGTAGACATTTTTTGGTGAAATTTTATTTTTTTATGGCACATTATTCTAAACAATCAGGGTTTTGAAAATTGTTTTACTCTATTAAATGTTATCTTATTTGCTGCATCTGTATTGTATAATTATTTAATGACAATTTGTTTCATTCTGTTGCAGGAAGTCCTTCAACAGATATTGATAATGAGGCTGCCCAATGTCCAGACAATTTGCCGAGAGCCTGAAAAAGGTTTGTCTTTTCATTGTTTTTAATTTTCATCTTTTCTAAATGACATTTTAAAAGTAATGGTAATTGTCACTGATTTAATTTATGACAACAGAAGTCGTGACTCTCAGCCATGATCTCCTATTACAGCTGGTGAAAATTTTTGTTCGGGCTTTTGAAAAGGAAATACAGCTGTTTGTGTGTGCATGCACAGTATTGAAATGTATACTTGCTTTTTTTTTTATCATGTTCCTTCAAGGTGACTATAGCTCTCCACACATTCCTTTTCTTTATCTGTAAATTAAATTCAGAGTTATCCATCTCTTAGAGTGGCTTTCAGTCAAACCATGCCAAAATCACCAGTTCTCGTTCAATCACTGAAGCTAAGCAGTGTTGAGTTAGGTCAATATTTAGATGGGGGACCAGGTACTATAAACTACCTCTTACAATCAGAAATATGATATGGCTTTAAATAACCCACAAAAGTTTGATAAGTTATTGAAATCTTTAGCACTTCTGTTGGAGTAACCCCTCCCTAATTCACCATATTTTCATGGGTGTAGCTGTATTGACTGGCCACAGATGACACTTTTCCAGATCATTGACATGGCTTAATACTAGGGTGCATTTTCCATAGTTGACATCTACTAATGGAGTGTCAAAAGAAGACCTACTATTACTACTATTGTATTAGTAGTAGCAGCAGCAGCACTGTCATAGAAGTGTATACAGTGTAGATGTTAAATATATCAAATATTCAAACTGTTTAGCAAAACTTTTATAGTGGCAACTAGTCAATGTTGGTGTCTCAAAAAGAGCTGCCATTAGCTATTGCTTTATGCAAGCCTGTGTTTTGAGTGAGGGAGCACCTTTTGAGTGAGTGAGGCTTTGAATAAGAGTTTGTATACCAGATATTAGTTCTCAACATTTTCACGTTCCTAGCCTCACAGGTATGACAGGTGTGTTCTTTAATGTCTACTTGAATAACATTCTGATTAAACTGAAATAAGGCTAGTATTTATTTGAAATCCCATGGATAAAAATATGGCATAAGTTAGTTTATTTAATGTGAGGAATAAATATGTAAGGCATTTTCATCCAGCTGCAGAATGCCTTTATCTAAAGTGCAAAATTGAGGTGCTTTCTGAGGGAGTTGAAATCTGGCCCAATCACGTCTGATTGAGAAATCCTGGCTATAAGGGCATGTGTGTATGTGTTTGTTTTTGTGTGTGTGTGTTTTTGTGTATGCATGCATGCATGTGTGTTTATACATTTGCATATTTTTGTTTTTGTTTGTGTGCATGCAAGTGTCGGAAAATGTTGATACTTTGATACTAGCAAGCAGTTTTTTCAGATCAAGTCCTCTGGTATAGTTTGGATATTTTACCTTTTAGCAGCTATTTTATTTAATACACTTATATTGTGAAAGTTGGTCTTTAGTTGTATCAATATTAGCTAAACCATTTATCAACAGGATGTTATCCTTTTATTGGCTGCCTCGGAACATTCACGAGATGTAAATTAAATTTTCTATCATCCCTAACTTTAAGTCCTCTCCAGACTTGTGGTCATAAGTTGCTGTGTGTACTTCCTTGAACATGCACTCTCTCCACTGTTATTACATCCTGAGTCCTATTTACAAACAGCATCAAATGACAAAAAAAAAAAAAAAAAAGTCATTTCATTTGAAAAATCTCACCCAAGGTTAAGCTAACTGTTTTTTGTGCATTGAGACTCAAACCAATACCATTTATATTATTAGCATAGCTGGGTAAAGAAGCAGTATTTTTTCTTTCCAAATAAGACCAATAAAACTCTCAGAATTCAAATACGTCCAAACCATAAAAGAAAGAAAAAAAAAAAAAAAACTTTCAAAGTAATCTAATCTTTGATAACAGTTATTATCTGGGAGAGTAGCATTTAATCAAATAACTGGATTACATAATCATGGCACTTTAATTTGTGCGTTAAAACCTGGGCATTAGATTGAAGTGTTCACTTAAAATTGACTGCAGGTATAAGCAGCAAAGATCAGAAGGCAGAAGAGGGACAGTAAAATGTTTGTAAATTTTGCAATTATTAACTTTTGTTTGTAACATGCATTCAGCTTGTCTTTCATTATGAATAGTTTAACACTTTTACTGCCTGCCAACATCAATTCTATATAAAATAATTAATATCAGGTCAAAAGAAGAAAAAGAAAACAAGACATTTTCATTTATCATCAAATTAATCTTATGATTCTGCAACCCTGACTTGTAATCAAATGTTTATTTTTATTTTTTTTTTGAGTTATTTTCTGCACTAGGTGCAGTGGAGAGTAACTGTAATATCAGTGGTCAGCTTTAAAAGCCAAAACCTTTTCCAATATGTTTTTTTCGATACATACCTCTGTTGTGTGTGAGTGAAATACAAGTGCTTATGCCATTCCGTGTATATGCAAGCACATATTCACACAATTTGACTGGATTTTGAAATAAGACATTGGAATAATACATTCCTCTTCCACTCAGTCTGGATGACTCTTACTCTGTGCTGAGCAATAAAGTTGGAGAAAAAAAACAAAAAATTTTTAAACCCTAAAAAAAATCAAATAATTATAAAATTCTATTGAACTTTTCAGAAATTATTCAGTAATAAATTGAATGTCATTAACATTATACATGTGCACACAAAAACATGCACAAACCACATACACACAATATGAATGAGGCTATCTGTGTCATGATGGTAAATTTCCCTTTCAGTCTGATAACAACCCCTGGATAACAGGAAAAGAGTATAAACTGAAATATGCAGCCTTTTGAAATCATTTCTATGACTTCTATATATAAACTGAATATATTTTCTAATAAATGTAGTATTTTCAGTGGCCAAACAATTTAGATTTGAAATTTGATCATCTTGCCAACAGGGAAGTGACAGGTGTTAAGATAATTTGTGATCAATAGAATCAAATCATTGTCATATGATAAATTAATTTGTCCACCTCAGGTTTTTATTTTAATCTTTGTCGTCAATGCAGTCCAATAAGTAGATTCAGTTCAAGAATTTGAGAAGGTTTCTTGATTCCTTCTTTTATATCTTACACCAACGCTTCATTCTTCTGTCTATTGTTTCAAGACTTTATACAAACAAGATGTTCAGTATATCAAGTGAACTTTAAAAATGTGAACTACCAGCTGTAATGTGTAAGTGAGGTAAGTGATAGCATCTCAAAATGAAAAATTGGAGAGCCGAGTTCAAATTTCAGTTGGGTTCACTACATTCACTTACACACTTGGGAGAGGTATGAATCCATCTCTTTCCTCCAGCTGTGGGTTAAATAGTAGGACATGTATCTGGAAAAATCATTACTCTCAAAAAAGGAATTCTTACAATCCAAAATATGTTCTAGCTTTTAAGAAAAAACCTACAAAGGGTTGAGAATCCATAAAAAAAAAAAATCAATGAATCTATAATTGTAGTCTGCAGTGCTTGTCTTTCAAGCCATTGACAATGAATTCAGTTACTACTAATCACTCTAAAAATATTACCTTATGCCAAATGTAAAAATTGGTAGTTATGACTCATATGTGTATTCTGACTTCATTCTTTGAAATATTCATCTTCCCCTGAAATCAAAGGCTTACAGCCACATCACATTGAAATACCAGTTTTCATATAATCACTGAAGTTAAGCAACATCAAGCCTAGATTGATGACCACTTGGAAATACCAGGTGCTGTAAGTTTTGATGGTGTAATAGATAATGGCTTGGAATTGTCAGTTTGTGAGCTGAGTTCCAATTCTTGTTGGGTTTGTTATATTGACTTACACACGAATACTCTTGAGAAAGGCATGAATCTACTTTGTTCTCCTTTCAGCTATTGGTCAATTAGTAAGATTTGTATCACTAAACAGTTATCTCCAAAAATAAAAAAAATTCTTAAAATGTAAAAATATTTTCTGGTTTTAAATAACCTGCAATAAGACTTAGAAAACAAATCCATCAACAATTCCCCTGAAATCAAAGTTTTTATTTTTATTTTTTAATTAGCAAAAATGTAAATTTAATTTATTTTTTTTCCATAAAATACTAATTTACTTATGCTGTTAAAAAAAACAAACAAAAATACATTGTCCAGTGTAAAGGAGATAAAGTTATAACCAAAAATATATAATTGTGCTTGTTCCACCCTTCATTAGTGTTATAGTGGAACGCACCTATTCTATAGTTAATAGACTCTCCCACCTATAATAAATAAGTGTAACGAGTCGGTGAGTCAGTCGATGTCGGACGACAGTCGAATACTAAAGTATCAGCAACCACAACTAGGTTACTCTGCGTTATACCTATCATATCAAGTTCCTAACGTTTTGTACATCGAACCTATTTTAGGACTGACTTAGTACAAATACAAGCCTCCATTGTGAAATCACTCCACAACATTATTTGGCCACGAGACTCAAACCGTATTTAAAAAAGTTGAGTATAGTGAATGAGTAATGCCACTGATATACGTGAAAAAAAAGCTCCAGAAAGTAAAAATGAAGCCGACACCGAGAAAAACTGGGGAGCGACTTACCCACAGCCAAGGACTTTCAGTATTATTAAATGATTTAAGTTAACTGAAGTCACCACAGAAAATGTTAAGAAGCACAAGATCAACAAAAGGGAAGCTAGAGGCTGAACAAATAGAACTACAAGAAGAACCTACAGAAACTGTGACTCAATCTCAAAGAAGTTCAAAGCGGAAGGTTGTTTCTGGTAACACTATGGAGGTACCAGAAAATAGAAAATAGAACTTTCTCAGGCATTTGTTCTCATATGCCAGGATGCTTTTCCTTGTCTCAGCCAGGAATGTCCAAGTCTCACACTTGTAGGAGGCTGGAGATGACCAGCAATTTGTAGAGCTTGAACTTGGTCTGGAAGCTGATGTTACTCTTCCATATCTTTTCAAGTCTGGCCATTACTGCTGTGGCAATCCAAGTGCAGATTTCTATGTTGCAGGTGCCATCTTTTGACAGTGTTGCTCCTAAGTATTTAAAGCTGGACACTTCCTCCAGTGGTTTACTGTCCATGGTGACACTGATGCTGATGTTATTTGTGCTATTCACCCTTACTTTCAATTTCTCTATGTTGAGTTCAATTCCACATATACCTGCTCTTTCAATGAGTTTGTTGGTCATGTCTTGCAGCTCAGTGTTACTGCCTGCCATATCATCTCTGAAATGTAGGTTGCATGCTTCTTTCCAGAAGCAGGTTGAAGTGTGTTGGAGAGAATAGGTACCCCTGTCTCATGCCAATAGTTGTCTGAAAGAAATCTCCCACTTGGTTGCTCAAGAGAATTGCACTAAATGCATGGTCATAGAGGGTTTAGATGACTTGGATGAGCCCTTCTATGTTAATCACAGGAGTAGGCTTCTTTAAATGCAATAATTGTACCATGTTCAAATTCTGGTAGAGTTCACTTTCATATAAATACACTTGGGGAAAATATGAATTCATCTTGTCTCCCCCAACTATGGATTAAATAGCAGGATAGACTAGACTCTCTAGCCTTGGTTGGCAACCAGTCTGAGAGGAGAGTAGTTCGGAATTCAAACTTGGTCAGGCATTGGGTTAATTCTACCTGATGGAAACTTGCTACAGAACACACAGCAGCAACACCTAGCATGGTGAGGGTGTGGCCCTATATTCCACAGAGAAGTCTAATAGCACTGAGGAGGAAGAGGAAATGGACAGCCAAGATTTTAGCATTGATATAAGTTATCCCTACAGTTGTAGGAAATTAGATATTGTTATAGATGATAGAAGGAAATTATTTGCAATAAATTAACTGTTTTCCAGATCTATATCTTTTTGCTAAAATTATTTGTACAAAGGAATTATTTGGCTCCATGACTTATATAAGTATTGACATACTAAATGTAGTTATAAAATCCATGGCTTCATTTGGAAACAAAAGAAAATATTGTAGATCCTGTATTACCAATGTCCTTCAGTTGATATTGCACAAGTTATGTAAGCTGAGAGTATCATGTTCATTAAGTGTGGTTAAGTTTTGACTGATCTTGTCTATAGTTGGTTTTGTTCTCTCTCTTCTATATATGAGTGTAAATCCTGAGATTAGTAGAAACCATATCAAAATAGATGAAAACAAACAACCAGACCAGTGTAAATTTTTGTTAATCTGTATTTAATCATTGTGTATGAAAATGCAATATTCATTTTTCTTATTGTAGATACAAGTTTCGAAGAGCTTAAGAAAGCTCTCCTCCTTGTGCTGGGCTGTGCAGTGCAGTGTGAACGGAAGGAACACTTTATTGAAAAGATAAAAACTTTAGATATTAAAGTGCAGCATGCAATTGTTGAACACATCAAGGAGGTAAGTCCTACTTTGAAACTCCAGGGCATAAATATGAGGTCTGTCTGAAAAGTAACATGACTTGATGTCCTGTGTAAGTAATGGGTGAAAGAGGGATAATCAGATTGTGTTATCATCTAACATGATATCTTGGGAGTATATAACTGTAATCTTAGATTTCTGCAACTGTCAGATTTTTTTTTGTGGTAGAACAAATTATGGCTGACAATGCACCTGCTCACAAAACCCTGAGCATCTGGCAGTTCCTGGCCAAGAAGAACCTTGCCATACTAGAACAACCTCCCTATTCAACTGATCTTGCTCCATGTGACTTTTTTCTTTTCCCCAAACTCAAGTGGATCATCAGGGGGACTCATTTTGAAGGCATGGAGGTCATCAAGAGAGCTGTAATGACAGAGCTGAGGGGCATCTAAGAAGAATCCTTCCAGAAGTGCATAGAAGCCTGGCAAAGTCCATTAGACCAGAGAGGGATTATTTTGAAGGGAATACCATGTAGTTGTTTGGAATTGAAATAAATTGTTTGTGACACCAGTCATGTTACTTTTCAGACAGACCTTGTATAGTTACTTTTATACATGATTACTGTTTGTTAATGAGTGAAATAAAATCTTTGGAAAACAAAGTTAAATTTTGTGTGAATGCTGAATAAATTTAGATTTGGTTATCTTTTAGTGTGTGCATAGAACAAATCAAGATATAAAGCAAATAACAAAAACATCATTTTTAACATAAGTTATGATTAGAAAAAACTGGAAAATTGAAATATATAAATTTATTAATATAAAATATTTGAAAAGGCAACATGTTCAGGATAAATGCTTAGTCAAATTTAAATTTTACCTCAAATTAATCTAACAAAAAACTGAATGATATACATATCTCAAATCCTGAAGCTTTCTGGCACAAGGCTAGATTGAGATACGTGAATCATCCATCTCTTTATTTTTATTTAAATAATATATTTTTATAAATACACTTATATAAATATTTATGTAACTTAATGTTGATATCTTCCATTATTTTTATTTTTTTTTATATGTACAATAATCTTTTTGAATAAATAAATCTGTATTTTCCTATAGTAGAAATGCTTACAGCTTCTTGCATATGGATCTGTAACTTAACTGTTAAACTATTTTCCTATATAACTTCAAATATAATTTATTTCTATTCAAAGGCTGACAAGAGGTGTTAAGTTAGGTGTTTGTGATTTAAAGTATTGCACGTCCAATTATTATAACTCATAAGGCTTAAGAGGCTCTTTTTATTTATTGAACGACTGTGTCACAAGTAGAATGTGTCTTGTAGTTTTATATTTCTGAAGCAAAAACAAAGCTATTGTTTATGGAGCTAGAAACTTTAGATGCCAATACTCATACTGCTATTTTGAACATGAAAGCCATATAGGGAACTGGCTAGTCTTTGTTAACCAACAAGGCTATTTGGTTGAAGAGCAAACCGATCTTTCTCTTTCAATTTAAACTTGTATATCATCATTTAATCTTTCATTAAGTAGGTTGTCATTGTAAAAGAAGGTATTATCTGATTACCAATAGAAGTAAGTTTTGTTCATCGTTCCAATATTCAGTCTAGCTTCTCATCTTATAAGGCTATTAACAGTGTTTTTAATGTAAAATCATTTTACTGGAACTTGTCACAATCTATCAATATAGATTTACAAATGTCTATGTAAGTGTGTACCGATAAGAAAATTGAAAGCAAACAATGATTTATCTGCTCATAAGTTCCAGTAATGGTTAGTCTGTTGTTACTTCATATTTGATGGATCATTTTTTTTATAGATTAACCACTTAAAATCAGTGTTTCTTTTGTCCTAAGTAAAGAATCTCAGCCCTTTCGCCTCCTTTTAACATTTTATTTAATCATGTTTTCAGCTGATTCTATACATACATATGTAGAATGAATTGAGAATATAAATTTTTCTATAAGCATTTGCAAGTGTTTTGAATTACTAAACTTTGTTTCAATTGAATTTCTTGTAGGTAACCGATGATACACAGTGTGTGCTTCCAGTCAATCCTTCAGAACAACTTGATGGCTATGTGGAGAAGACATTAAATCATTTGAACAAACTGATTGTTGAGCGAGATGAACTTGCAGAGGTGATATTTTTATTCTGTTATAACTTTTTTTGATCAACTCATATCAGATCATTGATTTGTTAATTGTTGAATGTGAGACCATGTGTGCTTGGCCCAAATATTTGTTTGTTCAAGGGCATTAATTTCCTTCTCAAAAATTGCTTTTGAATGTATTGGGACTATGGTACATATGTTGATAAAATATATAATATTTCTATTAATTGATTAGAACCTACCATGGTATTATCAGATAATCAAGCATATTAAAAGGAATAAATATATCTAATTTTGATATCAGTTATACTTTCAGATGAGGCATGTATGTTGAAATTTTTAACAAGGATTTACCCTTTTATTTTTTTTTTTTTTTCTAATTCTTGATGTTGTCTTTTTAAACTTAGGCTGTATTGGAGCTAAAGCAAGAACAGGAATTTTACCAATCACAGATTGAAGGAAAATCTTCACTAACTGCTGTCAGCCCAGAAAAGCACCATCTTGTTGTGGAATTAGCAGATTGTAAAGCCAAAGTGAGAAAACTTCGGCAAGAATTGTAAGTTGACTTTTAAACATTACTTTTACATTATTATTCACTTAAATTGGACAAAGGAATTGTTTCTGGATACTTTTATACCATGTAAACCTATATTCTTTGTATTATTTTTTAAAATATTTAATAAACATTTTTTTCTAGTTAATTTTCTTCGCAATATACTGCCCAAAGACCCACTTTACGTATTTTGAAATTAAACCCATATTAAAATTATCCATCAAAAAAAAAAATTATTTAAAAAATATTTTTGCTTTGAAAATGTTGGAAGCATAAAAAAATTCTTTATTAACTCAATACTTGCACACACATTATTGTCCTTATCTATATTATCATATTCTGGCTGTTACACCCTACAGCCTTCTTCAGGTGCTTATCATTCCAGGTAACCATCAGGGAATTTTTGAACAGAACCCTTTATTTAATCTGTAGTGAGGACTTGCATTCCCTGCTTTGTTAGGTTATAGTAAAGGAAGGAAATTAGAATTCTTATAATGCACTAGAAAGACAGTTTTGGTACAAAAGTATAGTATATCTCTCTCTATCTCTCTCTATCTCTCTATATATATATATATATATATATATATATATATATATACACACACACACATTCTGTTGGATCAGAAAGATATGTTTTCTTAAATGCACTCACAAGAAAAATGTTTCTTCATACAGATAAGCCTAAAACCCATTTCTTTGTAATAATGCATACAAATCATGTGTGTGTGTGCTGTGAATGATATGAATCAATTATATAGGCAATTGTATGTTTAATCAAAAATCAATCATTTAATAAATATCTTGTTGCATGAACACCAAAAACTGTTCATATTTTATTTCATGTATTATTGCACACTCATATTAATTTGTACTGAACTGCTACATGCTATCTGTCCTACTTTATGGCAACAAATGTTGAACAGTCTCCTCAAAGATGGAGAGACTCAAGGTAACAAAAGTGTGGTTCTACAGAAGGATGCTAAGGATACTATGGACTGAACATGTGAGCAACAATGAGGTTTTTGAGAGAATGCAAACAAAGAGGAAATTTATACTTAACATCAGGAAGAGACAGCTGAAATTTCTTGGACATGTAATGAGAAAGGAGGGCTTGGAAAATCTGATACTCACAGGGTGGATAGAGGGAAAGAGGGACAAGGGAAATTAATGTGTGACATATTTAATGGGCTTAAGCAAGTGGATGGCAGAACAGGGTCTGTGAGAAATAACAAAAAGACAAAACTTAATGAAAGCTACAGGAGAGGTGAAGAGCCATGATTGCCTACATTCTGAAAAAAAACACAGCATATAAAAGAACGTTAATTTAACATGTTGTGGACAAATTATATAATCCCAAAGAAAAATAACAAAACCAAGACCAAGATCTCATATCAATTAACCACAATAAATCTACAAGAGAAGATGGTTCTCATTCTGCTGTTCACATCTAGAGATATCTCACCTTGTTCTTACTTAGTACTATTCAGTTATTGCTTGTCCTGTTTCTGCAGAGTCTAAGTCAGTACTACCTGACTCAGGGACTGAACTCAAAATTTCTATGCCAAATGTCAAATTTTCTTAGAATTGCTTGTCCTTTTTGTCTTATTCAGGGACTGAACTCAAAATTTTTATAAGGATACTTATTCTTCTTAGTACTCTTCAGTTATTGCTTGTCCTGTTTCTGCAGAGTCTGTCAGTACTATCTGACTCAGGGACTGAACTCAAAATTTCTATGCCATCAAATTTCTAAGAATTTTTGTCTTATTCTTATTTATGACTCTTCAGTTATTGCTTGTCCTGTTTCTACAGAGTCTAAGTCTGCACTACCTCTCACAGGGATTGAACATATGATATATTATCAAATTCTAATGTTTTGATAACAACATAGATGAGCACAATACTCTAAGTGTAAATAATGTAAATAATAACTCCTCATCTTGGAAATTCAGGCAGAAAATATTTTCTTTATACAATGATTTTAAATTTACAAAAATATAAAATCTATTTATACATGTTGGCTTTTGCAGGTGTTGAAATGAATGTAAAAATGTATTGCTTAAATAAATTTCTCTACTCTTCTGCTTTGCTTACATGTTTCCAAAAATAAAATCATAAGATCTCATGGTGTTTATTCTATTCTCTATCACTTAACTATACTTAAAAGTCCAAGTGTTATGAAATAATGCATAAAAAAGTGATATGAATGTCATGAATGGAATAAAATTTCCATGTAATATCAACTACTTCTTAAGTCAGACGTTTAAGGTACCTTCAATGATTTACCAACTGATGAATCTGATAATCATGAAAAACACCAGTTCCTGTACAATCATGGAAATTAAGCAACATTGAGCCTGGTCAGATGGGTGACTGCTTGAAAATACCAGGTGCTGTAAACTTAGATGTGCAGTTGGTGTAATGGATAATTGCTTGTAATTCTTAATCAGAGAGACGAGTTCCAATTCCTGTTGGGTTTGTTATATTCACTTATGCACAAATAACTTTGGGAAAGGTATAAATCTACCTCTTCTTCCCAAAGCTATATGTTAATTAGTAATACTTGTATCACTAAACAAATATTATATCCAAAAAAAATAGATTCTTACAATCTAAAAATATTTTCTGGTTAAGTCCTAAAAAATGCAACATATCACACAAGAAATTTCCTAATTTGTTTATACAGTAAATTAAACTGTTTTTTTATATATATATATATATATATATATATATATATGCCTTTGTTACAACTTCTCAACCCTTTGCAAGTTATTTAAACTTGCAAAGGGTTGAGAAGCTGTAGAAAACATCAATTGAATTCTCATAAAATATGGTCCTTTGATAGGTGGCAATATATATTTTTGTTTTGTTAGTGTGTGTGTGTATATATATATATATATATATATATATATATATATATATATATATATAAGTTTAATTTACTGTGTAAACAAATTAGGAAATTTCTTGTGTGATATGTTCCATCTTTTAGGACTTACTCAGACTAATATGATGTTTACATTGACATCACTACACATGCACACAAAGATGGAATGCTGAAATCTTAATCTTTTACTTCTTTATTTTTAATGTATTTGGTATATAATCTATATATATTAAATATAATAAAGTATATAATCATTTATATATAAAGGGTGGATCAGTATGAAAAGAGCTTGACACAGTTCTTGGCTGAATTATGATAAAAAATTTTCACTGTATAATTTTTAAGAAATTGAATAATACTTATCACTGTATTGACAAGAGTTTAAAAAATAACTGGTTTGTAATATATGACTTGTGTGAATTTCAATGTGTCAGTAAGTTATTACAAAGTATATCTAAGCATCTACTGGACCATTTCTGTAAGATATTAAGGAGTCAATAAGGAACTATTTCTTTTTAGTACTGCTCGTAAAAGGTCTTAACTTAAGGATTTGGATAAAAAAAAAAAATTAACCCTACAACAAAGCAAAAATAAAAAAAAACTATTTGAGACTTCCCCAATATTAAACTGAAGCATTTACAAAAAGCACACAAAACACAAAAAAGAGTATACTAAAAAAAAATGCAATGATGCAAAGAGTTGGGGGGGGGCAACATGTAATTCATAGGACAAATAAAATAGGAAAATAAAAAACTCTTTTAAAGAATAAATTGGCAAAGGTAAGCAATTTGGATATTTATATTAGTTGAAGAAAGTCTTTCTTTGTAAAGAAATGAAGAAATGGCAAGGTGGTTTGGGTACTTAATTTCCAGGATTTCTATGGTTCGTGATGAGTCAATAGGAAATTGGTCTGGTTGCAATGAAGTGTTCATTAATACTAGTAAAAAACATTTTTTCAACCCTAATACTTGTAGCAATAGTAATTCATATAGAGATATGTAATAAAGTATAGAGAAATAGGCAATCATAAACAGTTATTCTTAGACAACTCGGAATGATGAAAAGACTTTGAAGTAATCAGCATCATAAGTTACTTAAATTGCTCTCGACACACTCTAGCAAGTTAGCTTTTAGTGAGATGAATCAGATGACAGAAAGCATAATTTCTTTACACAGTGGTGAAATGCTCTAACTTGAGGAGACTGAAAGCAAATTGGTTATAGAGGAATTGTTGACAATAAGTTTGTCTTCTGTCCTTGAATGTTTACATGGAAGAAGATATCGCATCATTCTATAGATCCATTAAATATCAAGACAAATTTTATTTACTTTGAATTCAACTCCATTAAATTTCACTAAAAACATTCTCTGAATTTGAATTAACACATTACTTTCACTTTATTAGGTTGACAACATCACACGTTTTTCTTTAGATTAAATTTTCTTTTTAAATTAGTAATTTTTGTAATAATCATATTAATGTTTGCATGAATTATTCCCCCCAATTTCATTTTTTGGAATACTTTTTGTCTGAATTTACAAGTAAATCGGTGTGTAATAACGTTACTGTACTCATAGAAAATAACATGTTTTTTTAGGACAATCAGTATTGACTCATGTTTGTGGTGAATAAGCACATAACAAGTTTCATTCTTGGACTTATATAGAATTATCAGTAATCCCTCCCTCTCATATATGAGAAAGAAAATAAATGACAAAGTGTAAAAAATCTTTTCAGGTGACAATTTCATCTTTTAGGACTTCATTCGATTAGAGTGATGTTTACTTTGATGTGCACAAAGAAGAGGGAACAATGAAATTTTAATATTTTTTTTTAAAAATGTGTTTGGGTATATAGTCCTGTTCAAAAGACCAAGGAGGAGTGTGAACCGGATATATATTTCTGTTCTACTCTCATCACATACAAATTTATATAAGAAAGAAGAGAGAAGACTAATACTGTGCTCATATCTAGTATATATTAGGGAGTATATGTGTTTATCTGTGTGGGGTCTAGAATCAAACATCTTTTTCAGTTTCATACTGTATTCTATTATAGCTATATGGTAAAATTGTTTTGTGACAAATGATTAAAACATTAATCCATTGTTAATATAAT